ACAGAGGAAAAAGACGAGGAAAAATACAAGGTTGTATAGTAGCAGACACTGCAGGTTAGCTTGAAGGATGTATCTTTAAGTCGACTGTCCAATTATGTCCAGTGTCGTGCATAACAGGACCCGGGGGGGGGGGGGTAGGGGGGGGGAGAGTGCACAAGGCCTGCCGACAAAAAAAGGAGTAACAAATGGATAAAATTAACTTTAAAAGAAAATCTTTTATCTCTCCTTCTGAATAATTCTCTGTGCTGTCTGTGTTTGACAGTTTCAAAAGATGTAAAATGGGAAAAGGGGAAACGGGGAAAGGGGGTTGGGTATTTAAAGGCGTCAAAATCTTGAAGGCACATTGAACCCCCCGTCCTCACCAACAAAATCATTGTGTAGAAGAGGTAGGGGGGGGGGGGGGAATAATTGTTGGGGTACAGCACCTCCATCCACCAACCCATTACCATACCAGACATTCTCTTTTCTTGCATGTGTTTACACATCTATTATTTTACATTTATTACTTCTTTTTGTAATTCAGAACATAATCATATTTATTAATATTATTATTATTTATGTTATTATTAACATCACTACTATTACGCAAGTAAAACAAAAACTTAGGTACCGTGTTTCTCCCCGCCGCCCACTATAGTCTAGAAGGGGGCGGAGGGCGGGTACCCGGGGGGGGGGGGGGGGGGGCTGAAGAGGGTCCGCTCAGAGGTAATAAATAAGCCTTGCTTAATTTTTCATAATATTTTTTTTTTTTTTCACTTGTATTTATGTAAACTCTGGCGACAAATTCTGGTTGTTCATTCGCTTTAGGACTACGGTCTTGTTTCAGAATCTGAGATTTGTGTGCACATCCATTTTGCAGATCTGGCTTATTTTCATGAAGACTGTTAGTTTCTCAAGCAGATGCACTCAGACTGTGAAGGAAACAACCCTAATAAGTCGACTCTTACGACATGCTTATTACAGGGGCATTGGGTTTATTCTCACACCCTCCCTACAATCAGTCCATTAGTATGCTCAATATGTATTATTATTACTGTGCGCTTAAACAAGACAAATCCTTTCCCTGACCCAGGAAATTTGATGGTAAAATGGGAGTGGTCAGCCCACCTGCATTGCCCTTAAAAAAAATTTTTCTTTAGGGTTCGGTTACTGGGTTATTTTACCTTCAGAAGATCGCCTTTGCTTCCCGAACTGTGCGACTCTCATACCCATGTCAACAGCAGTGCGATATGGTCTGCTACCGTTTGCTAAAGTGTCTGACTTAGAATCCCGCTATGTCGTGATTGTTAAACTGCATTCACAATTCTCGAGATCGCAGCAGTAGGGATCTTACTGTCAGATTCCATAATCAGTCGTGTGTGCCTATTATATAAGGCTTGTTAGACGCTTGCCTACAATGCTTGCACTCAAGTGTATGATTTTCCTGTTTATTTTGCGATATCCAAATACTTAATTCCCGTTGTTACTTCGAAGTTCGAGGACATCTGCCTAGGAGGGGAGAAACCGACAGTCCGCATGCAAATAAAACAAAAATAAAGTGTTAGAACAAGACCGAAATCCAGAAGTGGACGAACAACGAGAACTTTCTATCGAGTTTTCAGCAACTGATGACTAAGAAGAAGAAAAAGAAGAAGAAAAAAAAGAAGAAGCAGAAGAAGAAGAAGGAGGAGGAGAAGGAAGAAGAAGAAGAGGAAGAAGGAAGAAAAAGGAAGAAAAAGGAAGAAAAAGGAAAGGATAAAGAAGGAAGAAAGAAGAAGGAAGGAAGAAGAAGGAAGGAAGAAGAAGGAAGGAAGGAAGAAGAAGAAAGAAAGGAAGGAAGGAAGGAAGGAAGGAAGGAAGGAAGGAAGGAAGGAAGGAAGGAAGGAAGGAAGGAAGGAAGGAAGGAAGGAAGGAAGGAAGGAAGGAAGGAAGGAAGGAAGGAAGGAAAGAAAGAAGGAAGGAAGGAAGGAAGGAAGGAAGGAAGGAAGGAAAAGGAAGGAAGGAAGGAAGGAAGGAAGGAAGGAAGGAAGGAAGGAAGGAAGGAAGGAAGGAAGGAAGGAAGGAAGGAAGGAAGGAAGGAAGGAAGGAAGGAAGGAAGGAAGGAAGGAAGGAAGGAAGGAAGGAAGGAAGGAAGGAAGGAAGAAGGAAGGAAGGAAGGAAGGAAGGAAGGAAGGAGGAAGGAAGGAAGGAAGGAAGGAAGGAAGGAAGGAAGGAAGGAAGGAAGGAAGGAAGGAAGGAAGGAAGAAGAAAGAAGGAAGGAAGGAAGAAAGAAGAAGGAAGGAAGGAAAAAAGAAGGAAGAAGGAAAAAAAAGGAGGAAGAAGGAACAAGGAAAAAAGAAAGAAGCAGGGAGAAGGAGGAAGAAGGAAGAAGGAGGAAGAAGAAGGAAGAAGGATGAAGAAGGAAGAAGGATGAAGAAGGAAGAAGAAGGAAGAAGGATGAAGAAGGAAGAAGAAGGAAGAAGAAGGAAGGAAGAAGAAGGAGGAAGGATGAAGGAAGAGGGAAGGAGAAAGGAGGAAAGAGGAAGAAGGAAGAAGAAAAAATCTCGTATGTACTAGTGTGTTTCTGTTCACTATTATAGACAACTAAACTCTCAGAGAGAAGAAACCTTCACGGCTGGCAGCGTTCTGTTCTTCCAAACAACAGTATTACATTGTTTAAGAGAGACACAGGAATCACGACCAGTGCATAGCAGCTGAGAGATCGCTACCAAGACCAACTCCAGTTAAAATACCGCGAATGATTTTCTGGCCACCACTGACACGCTCCGTTTTACTTAGTTTTTTAAGCAATCGGAGATTTTGAACTGAAATGCTACAGAAATGATCTTAGAATATCGTTGACCAAGAGTTAGAAAAAACGCCGACACTTTCTGTAGCTATGGAGGTTTAAGGCGGAGAAGCCACAGCGGTGGAATATCCTCTTCACCGCAGGGAGACCTATAAAGATGTAGAGGTTAACCCAACTTTCTCTGTCTCCCAGAAACAAGGTATAGAGCAACTCTTGTCAGAGTACAACTCTGTCCTGACAGAGAAGCCAGGGCACACTTTATTAATGAAGTGTCTTATGACATTGGTTCCTGAAGAGCCTTTCCGTCAACGCCCTGTTCAAATCCCTCTTTCTAAAGAGGAAAGGAGTAAACCTCCAGACCGTCAGGAGGACCAGAAGGGGGATAATTTGCAATTCACACCAGGGTTACTTCCTGTGTTTGTTGGAGCACATAATGACGAGGGGAGGATAGTCCTTCCGAACTTCGCGAAGGATCAGACGGGAGGGATCATATCCCACATTCCTCGACGACCTTCCTGTGTGACTAGTGATGTAGGAGGCACACCGGTACATTACCTGAAGATTACAGGAGTACCAGGATGGTGTGTAGGTTTATTCGGCCAGCCCTATCAGGGGGTTCGGTCCGAACCTACATCTTTGCATGTACCTGAACAGAAGTCAGGGGTACATGGATGGAATCATCATAATTTTAGGTCCACGGGGACATCTACTGATTCTTTATGAGATTCCTTTTTGATCTAGTGTTGTAAAGTGGTCAGAGGTTCCTCTATATTCACATGAATTATCATTATTGAATATATTTCATCTGTCTCTGAGAGGTTGGTTTTGGTCAACCAATAGCTTGAGAGCAGATGTCTTGAGCTGTCACCCCTTGTCTGGTGATTCACAGACTGAAGGTGGTGAGCAGGCTGAGAGTGGTGAATAAATTTTCCTCAAGCACACTGACATAGTCCACTACTGGTTGAGGAGAATGGCGCCACGAGGACTTACTGGGGGGGGGGGGGGGTTGGCCGACTATAACACTTAAGGAGAAGGAGAGACGGATATACAGTCAGACAGTTACTTGTGTCAACGGAAGTTGAACTCTTTGCTTGCTGCTGAAGATGGGGGACGGAGCGCTTATGGGCGTGTCCCGAGTGCTGTGATGTCGATTCTGAATTCAACCTTCGTCGATGCAAGTTTTTTTCCCCCTGTGTGGGTTCCGGGGCCCCATTGTGGGGAAAACAAGAATAGACCCACTGCCTCCCCAAAAGCATGTTGTAAGAGTCAACTAATTGGGGAGCTTCCTTTGAAGACGGAGTGCGTCTGCCGGAGAGGCAAGGAACCAACAGTCTGTATTCAAGAGAATGAGATCTGTAAAACTGATGCACACGCAACACTCAGGTTCTGGAGCAGGACTGCAGTTCAGTAGTAGACGAGCAACCAGAACCTTCCGCCAGAGTTTACAGCTGGTGAAAGCGAAGAAGAAGAAGAAGACATAGGACACAAATTTACACCTTTTTTTTTCTCTCTCTCTTTCTTTCTCTCTCTCTCTCTCTCTCTCTCTCTATATATATATATATATATATATATATATATATATATATATATATATACACACACACACACATATATATATACACACACATATATATATATACACACACACATATGTATCCTTTATCTCGCTCACTCTCTCGATATATATATATATATGTGTGTCGATTACTAATTCAACTAAAATAGGACACAAATTTACACACACACACACTCTCTCTATACACACACATATCCTTAACCTCTATCTATCCCCCCACTCCCTCTCTTTTCACATCTACAAGTGCTTTTCTTAATAACCTACTTTTTCCTTCACTCTTGTATATCCTCATCAGGCACCGGTGACAAGCAAAGAGAAAATGTTCCACAAGGATTTCTCGCGGTGCAGTTTCAAAGAGACCCAATGAGACGGGAGCCAGTAACAAAATCTACAGCCATCTTAAAATCTTCTAAATGTATGCTATTCGGAGCAAGGCAAATATTCAATGAAGAATAAGCCAAAATGGCCACACTCTTCTTCGTAAACATTAATGGTACAACAAGAACAAAAGATGTCACTGGCAGAGGCAAATGTCATCCATTTCTGTAGTGGTTTCTACAGATTGTCTAACGACTTCATCACAGACGTCTTAAGGAATTGCCCCCGTTCATGAATGAAAACATAAAGACTACTCTAGAAGGTCTGCTTCAAGTCCTATCAGTGAACGGCGTACCCATTGGCTACGTGATACTGTTGGGGGTCAACTATAACACTTGTATACCCGGCCTGTGGCATCACGGGGTATGACCGTTGCGCCTGTAGGGCTGCTGTTTGATACACACTCGCCTGGGCGTAGTTGTCGTAGCTGCAAGCCGCGGCTTTGATACAAGTGTTGTAGTCATTTGCTGTGGTCGCCATGTTTTTATCGTGCATCAGGCGCATGTCGTAAAATTTGTTACTTGGTGTACTTCCGGTGGACATGTCGTAATAGTTTTTCACAGAATGATGAACCGATGTCATCTCGTAAAGTTTGTTGTTCGCGTTTGTTGAAGACATTTCGTAGAGTTTCGAACTTGGGGATGTCATGTCGAATAGTAAATTAGCGGAGCCGGAAGACATGTCGTAATATTTGTTCGTTGCTGCCCCAGTTGATAACGACATTTCGAAAAATTTATCGTTGACCCCGTTTGATGGGTAGGTCAAGTCACATAGTTTGTTGCCGTGGCCAGTTCCGCTGGACAGTTCGTAAAGCTTCTCATTGTGACTAGATATATCCCCGTGAACGGGTATATCAACGTTATGAGTTAAAGGTGAAGTCAACTGCATGATATCACCTGTAGTCACGGGTGTCTTTCGTATATTAGTCACTGTCTGACTGTTGACTTCCGTCTGATGAGAATGCTGGGGATTTTGAACATAGTGGTGTGAATTATTGCCTAGATGATGTTCCTGCTGGATTTGAGAGTGATGATGATGGATCGTAGATGATACTGAATTTGACGACGCTAATGAAGTTGATAATGTTGCATTAGACGGTGATGAATGTGGAACAAACTTGGCACCACTGGGCGACGACGAAACTTCACTTTGTATGGGTAATGGCTTGGGCATCTTTCCATTGCAGTTGTTTCTGTTTGCTACACCAGGAGACGAGGAAGTTGTTCTGTTGATGTCTGTAGAGGAGAATGTTGCACTAACGCTAGATGTCCGACGAATGATTACCGACTGAGGAATAGCGGACTCCCTGTGTGGCTGGGAACTATTCTGGATAGTTCCTGTAGCAGAAATCTCTGCCGTTTTGCTGTATGAGTCCGCTTTGTTGCTGCATGAAGTGACATCGCTTTTACCGTTTATACTTTCGGCCAAAGCACGACACAAAGCCCCAGTGGACGATGCGCTGGAAGTTTCAGGTAGGTGAGATAGTGTTTGTTGACTTAGAGAAGTGGAGTGTTGTTGTTGTTGATTCATGTGTTTCTTCTGCTGATGTTTCTTGTGTTGTTGGCGTTTCTCTGTGAATTCTTCGCTACCAACATCCACTTCAGAAGCAGAAGACTCAGATCTGTTACTGAATGGAGCCGTATAGTTCATGGCGGAGTACGAAGGAGCATCCCGCGAGCTGCTTCTTGAACAACTTCCACATCCACTGCCTCCGCTACTTCCTCCACCTCCTCCAGAGGACCGGAAGTCGTACTGTTGCTGACCGCCAAGGCACGCTTTGGAGGCGTCGTGGTTTGTATCTGTAGGCTGGGTTAGACGCGATGTACTTGCAGCGGCCGCGCTCTGTATAGCAGCGTTAGTTGACAGGTAACCAGGATATGCTGCTGGATCTCGAGCAGGATAGTAACGTTCTTCGTAAGTTCTGTAGGGACTTCTGTTATCTAGATATCTTTGATGTGCATGGGCAGTGGCCTGGTAGGGAGAGTAAACACAAGCAGCATCTCTGTACATTGCCATACCATGGTGGGGATACGGTGTAGAATATAGAGCACTATATCGATCCACTGCTATGTTTTCGGGTGTGCTAGAGTACATTACATTGGCGTATGGCTGCAGTGGGATGGACGGAATCTCAGGTGTCCCGTATTCCATAGACGTTTTATCTAACGAATACTCAGACCCAAATTCAGGGACTGCTTCCGTTGAAACTTGTGGATAGGGTGAGCGTCGGGATTTGTTTCTAGCAGGACGTATCTTCCCACCCGAGCTTCCTGTGCCACACGTGTTGCTGTTGTTGTTATTGTTGGCGCCATTGTTGGTACTGCTACTGCTCTTCATAGCAGAGTAGGGCGAGAGTTCTTTAGAAGACATGGTCTGTTCTATTTGGATCTGTGCGTCCTTGTGCATGACCTCGCTGAAAAACAGAAATGTTATTCGGAATTAGCATGGATTGCTGTATATTTTGAGATTAAACATAGAACAATGTGTAACAGGGTCTGTTCTATTTGGATCTGTGCGTCCTTGTGCATGAACTCGCTGAAAAACAGAAATGTTATTCGGAATTAGCATGGATTGCTGTATATTTTGAGATTAAACATAGAACAATGTGTAATGTAGTTTTCGGTCATGCCACTAAGTTAACCTAAGAAGTCGCTTGATTGCTAAAACCATTAGCTCAAGCAGGAATTGGATTCAGGACCACCATGTTTGCAAAAAGTTCCCTAACTACTAACCATCCGTGATTTCTAATCATCATAATCATCACCTACACCGCCATCATCATTATCATCAGCATCCCCATCATCATCACCACCACCTTCATCATCGTCACCTTCACCCTCAGGGGCTTGCTAGAAAGTAGCTCTCATCGAAGCCGACCGGGAATATTCTGGATCTTTCGCTTGTTTTCAAGCCTTATGCAATTTTTATCTCTAAGTCTCGTCTACTATCCACAGCTATGCTGATCTTAGTCTAGCATCTTCTTCTCTTCTTCTTCTTCGCGTACATCGGCTGTAAACTCCGGCAGAAGGTTCTAGGTGTTCGTCAACTCCTGGAAAAAAGAACCTGAGTGTTACGTGCACATCCGTTTTAGAAATATTACCCCTTTGTATGCAGACTGTCGATTCCTTGCACCCGTTGTGGAGGAAACAAGAATAGGCCGACTGCCTCCACAAGAACTTAGGAGTCGACTAATTAGAAGCTTCTTTTAAAGTCGGAGTGCATCTGCCTAAGAAGCAAGGAACTAATAGTCTGCATTAAAAAAGGATGTAAAAAAGGATATGCACACAACACTCAGGTTCTAGAACAAAAGACTTAAGGCCAGAACTTTCCGCTGGAGTTTAAAGCCAGTGAGCGCAAAGAAAAAAAAAAAAAAAGAAAAGAAAAAATGGATACCAGAAAAAGTCATGGGAAGTAAAGGCGACCGGTGTTACGGTGACCATATCACCCACCAAGTGCTGATAGGTCTAAAAAGAGAGCCCAGTATGCCCCAAACGTCTGAAAGCTTGGAAGAGGGTGGCTTACTTTCCCACTGGACTACAGGCTTCTTCACGAACTTGTGTGGTGCCATAATATAACTGTGCTATATGGTTTTGTGGTGCCATAATATAACTGTTCTATATGGTTTTGTGATGCCATAATATAAGCGTGCTATATGGTTTTGTGGTGCCATAATATAAATGTGCTATATGGTTTTGTGGTGCCATAATATAAATGTGCTATATGGTTTTGTGGTGCCATAATATAAATGTGCTATATGGTTTTGTGGTGCCATAATATAAATGTGCTATATGGTTTTGTGATGCCATAATATAAATGTGCTATATGGTCTTGTGATGCCATAATATAAGCGTGCTATATGGTTTTGTGGTGGCGTAAAAATAACTGTGCTATATGGTTTTGTGGTGCCATAATATAAATGTGCTATATGGGTTTGTGGTGCCATAATATAAATGTGCTATATGGTTTTGTGATGCCCCAATATAACTGTGCTATATGGTTTTGTGGTGCCATAATATAACTGTGCTATATGGTTTTGTGATGCCCCAATATAACTGTGCTATATGGTTTTGTGATGCCATAATATAAGCGTGCTATATGTTTTTGTGGTGCCATAATATAACTGTGCTATATCGTTTTGTGGTGCCCCAATATAACTGTGCTATATGGTTTTGTGGTGCCATAATATAACTGTGCTATATGGTTTTGTCGTGCCATAATATAACTGTTCTATATGGTTTTGTGGTGCCCCAATATAACTGTGCTATATGGTTTTGTGGTAACGTAAAATAACTGTGCTATATGGTTTTGTGGTGCCATAATATAAATGTGCTATATGGTTTTGTGATGCCCCAATATAACTGTGCTATATGGTTTTGTGGTGCACCAATATAGCTGTACTATATGTTTTTGTGGTGCCATAATATAACTGTGCTATATCGTTTTGTGGTGCCCCAATATAACTGTGCTATATGGGTTTGTGGTGCCATAATATAACTGTGCTATATGGTTTTGTCGTGCCATAATATAACTGTTCTATATGGTTTTGTGGTGCCCCAATATAACTGTGCTATATGGTTTTGTGGTAACGTAAAATAACTGTGCTATATGGTTTTGTGGTGCCATAATATAAATGTGCTATATGGTTTTGTGGTGCCCCAATATAACTATATTTTTTTGTGGTGCCCCCAAAAAAACTCTGCTATATGGTTTTGTGGTGGCCCACAATTACTGTGCCCTGTGGTTATACGGTTGAGCGGGGCTTCCGGAATTTGTACCTGTTTGATTCTTACGTCGACTTCTATGGCTTAGGCGTTGCGAACGTGTTTTGTAATGCAGGCTTATATTCCAGCTGCAGAAAGCAGTGGCGAACTACTGGACGTAAACTTGCTTAGAAAAACCACACAACAGCTAACAAAAAAAAATCATAGGGTTGTTTCTGCAACGTCACGTAAAAGATACGCAACTAACTTGTTTGATTCTCATCCTTGAAGTGTTAGTTTTATAAAATGTCAATCTAAAGTCAAAAAAAAAAAAAAAAAAATTGGCTTTATCTTTATATGGCGAGCCGCCGTGGTGGGGCAGCTAGACGCTCGCCTGCCGATCAGAAGGTCGTGGGTTCAGATCCAGTCAAAAACTTGGCTCCCAGGTGGAAGTAAAGGCGGTCGGTATGATGCTGACCTCATCATCTATCGAATGCCGACTGGTCTATAAAATAAAAAGGTGTCTAGCCCTATAAGCCCAATAGGCAAAAGGGGGAGGAAAGGGGTCTGTTATCTTCACGCATGTTAGTATCTCGGGTCCGGCCTGGCCGGCCAATCTTATCGCCCACTATTTTAATAATCAACCCTATACAAAGCCAACAAAATATGGATGCCAAAACAATTTTACATAATTAATAGAATTAATTAACCGCGCTCTCAAGTTCGGAAACGAGGCTTCAAAGATGCCTTGCGCGCGATCTCGTCGTGTATGAAATTATGAATGAAAAACATGCACGGACACGAATACAAACATGGCCGATGTAAGATTAGACCATCTTGCAAGTTTTCGCTTGGTTGTGCCAGACGGGAGAAAGTTCCGCCGGGATTTTTGGTGATCTGTGGCCCGGAAGTACCCGGTTTGTTCTAATGAATTACAAAACCAGCTAAATGTAATTGGATGTAACTAAATCTGGAAGGAATAGGAAGGATTGATGTTTCTATGGGCTCGCCAGCTATTGTGGAGAAGGTTCTTGTAAAGGCAGGACAATGGTGCAAGTGGACGTGGTCGTTAGGTGTGGTGACTGATGCTTTAGTGGGTTGGGTGTAAGTGGAGCTGTTAGAGTTGTGATTGCATTAACTCTGTGAGTACCGGGGAACTCAAGGTACACTTTCTTGTAACATTATAAGCGGGACTTACTTGTAACACTATAAACGGTATACACCAGACGTCCAGCTACCAAGAAAACATTAATGTTCTAACGAGGTTTTCCCCATATGGGTTCCGGAACCCACATTGTAGGGGAAAAACAAGAATAGACCCACTGTCTACCTAGAATAGCATGTCGTAAGAGTCGACTCATTAGAGGTTTCCTTCGAAGTCGGAGTGCATCTGCCTAAAGAGCTTAGGAACCAGCAGTCTGTGTAGAAATAAACTAAACCCGTAAAACCGATGTGCAGATGTGCACGCAGAATTCATGTTTTGGGACAAGACTAAAGTACAGAAATGAACAACAACCAGAACTATCCGCCAGAATTTACAGCCGGTGACGCGAGAAAGAAGAAACAACGATGTTAAGATACCCCTTCAACAATGTATATAAATTATCTGTTAGGCAAGGAACCAACCGTCTGTATACCAATAATCCAGATGTGTGAAACTGATGTGCACGCAACACTCAGGCTCAGGAACAAGACTACAATCTGGAGGTGGACGATCAACCAGAACTTTTCGCCGAAGTTTGCTCGCGCTCCTTTTTTTCCTAACCGTAACAAAATATTTTTAAAAAGTGGGGAAGGGGGAAAGGGGGGGGGGGGCGCTAAAGATTCAATCAACTACGGTATACATTGCATTATCTCGTGTTTTACTTGTGTGTTGCGTGTTTTTGTGGTCGATTCCAAGTTGTCTTCTTCTTCTCTGTTCGCACTTAAAAGAGCGTTCGGCGCGTTGTGTTGAGATTTACTTAATAGGCTACAATATTTGCGCCTTTCGGGTCCAGTTCATCCGATACCACGAAACTAAAAAGTAATCACCTTGAATGACACTCTTGTTAGTGGAACAGTGGTTCTATTCTTTTTTTCTCCAACCGGGATCCCCAGAAATGACCATATTTTCTCATGGCTGTATTGTTTTAAGACTCAATGAAACTAATGAAAAAAAAAGTTGTTTCTCTACAGTACGAACACTTTGCATAGAAAGTTTCATTTAAAAATTAGACTCAGTCGAGAAAATACTTGGCCTTTCAACACCAAAAAGAAAAAAAAATCTGTTTATAACCTATCTAGAATGCAGTAAAGTCAAGTAGACCACACATCAGCAATTCAACTTAGGACATAATTACAACATAGTTAAGTCAGCTAGACGACACATCTTCCAGCTCATTTCAGCATATAGTTGATGCTGATGATGTAATGAATCAGCAGCAGTTCTAATTTGGACATAATTACAACACAGTTAGGCCGGCTAGACCACACATCTTCTAACTAATTTCAGCATATAGTTGTTGCTGATGATGCAATGAATCAGCAGCAGTTCTAATTTGGACATAATTACAACACAGTTAGGCCGGCTAGACCACACATCTTCCACACTAATTTCAGCATATAGTTGATGCTGACGATGCACTGAATCAACTGGAACACACATGGCCCCTCAAATTAGAACATAGTTGATGCTGAGAAGGCAATGAATCACCTAGACCACACATCCCTCACTCACCTTAGAACATAGCTGACGCTGACGATACAATGAATCACCTAGACCACACATCCCTCACTCACCTTAGAACATAGCTGACGCTGACGATACAATGAATCACCTAGACCACACATCCCCCACTCACCTTAGAACATAGCTGACGCTGACGATACAATGAATCACATAGACCACACATGTCTCACTCACCTTAGAACATAGTTGACGCTGAGAAGACAATGAATCACATAGACCACACATGTCTCACTCACCTTAGAACATAGTTGACGCTGACGATACAATGAATCACATAGACCACACATGTCTCACTCACCTTAGAACATAGCTGACGCTGACGATACAATGAATCACCTAGACCACACATGTCTCACTCACCTTAGAACATAGTTAACGCTGAGAAGACAATGAATCACATAGACCACACATGTCTCACTCACCTTAGAACATAGTTAACGCTGAGAAGACAATGAATCACATAGACCACACATGTCTCACTCACCTTAGAACATAGTTAACGCTGAGAAGACAATGAATCACATAGACCACACATGTCTCACTCACCTTAGAACATAGTTGACGCTGAGAAGACAATGAATCACATAGACCACACATGTCTCACTCACCTTAGAACATAGTTGACGCTGACAATACAATGAGGTCGACTGGAGCGACTGTTGTGTACAATGGTGGCGTAGCTCTGCATCCAAACCCAGCCACCGTCTTTGGCCATAAACCTATAATACCTCGTGGTTACTTGACCTTTCAGGAGCACTGTGTGGACCAAGAAAAGACTCCAGTTATCGTCTGCACGTCAAACAACAGCAGTAGTACCAACAACTACAACGATAACAACATCAGCAGTATCAACAACATTAGGTCAGAACATAGCCTGCAAAGGAAAGATATCAAGCAATGCGAGTTTATAACGGCAGCATGTTTGGGATGTCAGTTATAAAAACTCCCAGAGTGGGTTTCGGGGCCCCATTGTAGGAGAAACAAGAATAGACCCACTGCCTCCCCAACGAGCATGCCATAAGAGTCGACTTATTAGGGGCTTTTTTTTCGAAGTCGGAGCGCATCTGTCTGAGAGGCTAGAAACCAGCAATCTGCGTAAGTTAACTCAGATCTGTTAAACGCATGTGCACGCAACACTCAGGTTCTGAAACAAGACTAAAGTCCAGAGGTAGACAAACAACCAGAACTTTCCTCCTAAGTTTACAGCCAGTGAACGAGAAGAAGAAGAAGAAAAAGAAAAAGAAGAAGAAGAAGAAGAGGAAGAAGAAGAAGAGGAAGAAGGAAGAAGAATGGTGGAGAAGGAAGAAGAAGGAAGAAGAATGAAGAGGAAAAAAGAAGGAGAAAGAAAGAAGATGAAAGAAGAAGAAAGAAGAAGAAGATAGTTACAACATATGAAGCTGTACTACTTTCCTGGCATCAGAAAGCACCCGATGTTGCTTTCATATCTGTTCTCAATCTAGATTTTGTGGCTCCTTTATTTTGCCTTTCACCACTGATCCATCTGTGTATATAATGATATATAAGTAAAGTAGTCTCTTCACGTCTTTAGGCGCATCGGGTATATGGAAAGAGTGCCCACCTTTTTACAGACCAATCGGCACTAAGTGGGTATTGAGGTCAGCATCACGCGCACTGTCATATAATGATGTATATATAGAAACAAAATAAAGAAAGCTATGTGTCGCAATGATATGGGGTAACTATTGGCAGGACATAAAGTTAGAAGACTTTACAGTTGATTGATAACTGTGTCGTTAGAGAGTTGACCTAACAGACGCATTTTTTTTAGTGTTGAGCGGGTTGTCGTGGTGGTGTTGGTGAGAGGGGCTGAGGTTGGTTGGTGAGAGCGGATGTGGGTATTTAAAAGTTTGAAGGGGAATGAAAGAAAGAAACAGGACAAAAAATCGACAAGGAATGACAGTTTAGAGAAAAAATCCTGATGTGTCACACAGTTTATCGAACGAGTCCATTATTACCTTCGCAATTTGAGAAGCCATTTTTTGTGTGTTAATTTGTAGCCCCACGGTTGAACAGGGTTTCTGGGACCTGTGTCCGGGGGAATTTTATCCAAATAGTATCACTTTGTGTCACCAGGTGTTAATCACTTCCTATGCGGTCCTGTTGGAGTTGAACATCACTCACTTACTCAGGTTCACCAGACTGATAGCGAATTTAAACGTTCACCAATAAATTCTCCAGAAGTGATTAATGACGCCATTTAATCAGAATGAGCCCAGTGATGCTAGCAACGAGAGCATACAAAATGAGAGTAGCGACACCAATGGTAGAGGACGACTCAGAAGGACATGGATTAAAAGGAGCCACTGATATTTTGAGACTCCACAACAGCACCGCACACCCACCGGGCAGCCGAGCATGCCCTGGCTGTGATATCTATAATCTGTTAACCTGCAACGCCTAGCAGTACCAAGCAGAATACGGAAAAGGGGGGGGGGAAAGGGGGGGGGGGAGGGAAATCGTATGGAAAATAACCCATGTGGGCAGTGCTTAAAGAGTCTCATGTGTATTAAAACAATTATGTTACAGCTGCGGCTCTATCCCTTAGATGTTAGTGAACGCTTTAAATAATCGAATTATCTTCCGGTACTAAGTTTAAGTTTTCACGGTAAACAAAAAAAAAAAAAAAAAAAAAAAAAAAAAAAAATCGTGCCTTATGGACAGTGGTCCGAGAGTCACACCGTGGAAGAAATTTGGGTCTTACCGCGTAATATTGCCTAAGACATCAGTGGGTTCATTGTATTCAACCTAACCCGGTTGATCGTAATTAAAAATAAGACTAAATCCAAGATGTACTAGAGCAGTGTGTGTCTTATACTGTGGTCGTAGAACTTTATGTAATGATATTACATTTTGCCAAATTTCCGGTCCCAAAATCAAGGTGCGTTGTATAAAAAAAAAAAGAAGAGTATTTGCAAAAAAAAAAAAAACCGCAAGTAAATCGTGCCTTATGGAAAAGTGGTCCTTACTAACGAGAGTCACACCGTGGAAGAAATTTGGGTCTTACCGCGTAATATTGCCTAAGACATCAGTGGGTTCATTGTATTCAACCTTCGTTGGACCCGGTTGATACTGTAATTTCCCAAAAAAAACATTGCCTCGTCGTCATCCTCGTCATCATGATCGACGTCAAAGTTAGTCCTCTGGGATTCGTGTTATTTCTGAAGAAAAAAAAAAAAGTCCGGCTCCGTTCAAATTTGAAACCACAACTATCGGATCCTTAGGCGAGCCTCTAGCCGCTACACATCAGGCACCCAACGGATACACGTACAGCACATACATTGCTTGTACATACAATGCAACACATATTTTGCTTACACGTGTAGGACAACAAACATTTGCTCACATGTATGATGGGCATATCTCATATGCAGAATATCACAAGCATGGATGTAGTGGTACAGTGTTTTCTCTATGAGATCTTGGGGCTCGTATCCTGTCAACGCCGCCACCCTTGAGAAGAAATACGACCACATTATTACATGTTCAGTTATACATTTGGCTACTGAAGGAGGGCAGGGAGCCTCTACAACTCCACACCAAAACATGCAGGCAGGCGAAATTTGTAAGCAAGTATCGATTGCCTCATATAGAAGCATGCCGTAGGATTTGCTGAAATAGGATGTTTTCCTCTCCTTCTTCGAGCTCACCGGCTGTAAACTCCAAAAAAAAGTTCTGGTTGCTCGTTCACTTCTGGACTCCAGTCCTTTTCAGAAACTGAATGTTGCAATCACATCCGTTTCACATGTATGACTCATTTGCATGCGTAAAGACAGCCAAACAAAAACAACCCTACAAAGCCAACAACATACAAGCAAACAGCCATTTTGAACGACCACACAAGGCAACCACATAAAGAGTACAACGCAAAGACAAATATATAAAGCAACCACATTACATCATCATCAAAGTCCTTTTTAAAAAGTCTCCAAATGTTTTTTTTTCTCTAGCTAATTTTCCAGCGCTACGTGCTTTCATAACCAATACATGTTCAGCGTCCTCTATCCATCCTCACAAACATCGACCATGCTTAGTTTTCCGGAAACTTACACCTTGCATCACCGTTCTCGCGAGGCCAGACTTTTAACGTCGCCAAAAATACCTCAGCTTTAGAGACAGGATGTTGGTTATGAGCAAGTTCTCCTCGAACCACATCACTGACAGCTAATAATTAATCCAGACTTACCTGGCGTCCAGAAATATCAGCTTGAGATCCAGTGAAGCTCGGAACATAAGTCGGTGAAAGCAAAGAAAATGAAGAAAACTCCCAGCGATACAGAGTCCGATTAATAATTAATTAAGTATCGGTAAAATAATTTCATTTAAAAAAAAAAAAAAGAAGCGTCCTCTCCTGAAAAATAAGCCCTAGTGCGTATGTTGCAGCAACACTTAATATAAGACAGGGGTTTACTTCTGTGGAAATACAGAACTGTCTTTGTGTTTTCTTCCACTTGTCCGTCAGAACAAAGATGGTTTACTTTGCGCTACCCGCGGTACACACCCGATGTTCCCAGGCCCCTTTGAGGCCGTCCGTTTCTGGCAGTGCAGCGCTCGACGACTTTATCTCCTGCAACATTCAAGCTTATCCCAATAATTGCCGAGACACGTGATAAATGTTGTCTTCAGCAAACACACGATATCGTATTGCCGCATGTCCTCACACCTGTACTGAGGTATACCGCAAGAATGCCGACACCTTCATTGGCTGGCTTATCAGAAACAGGGGTATATTTATGTTGTTAAGGGTACACACAGTCTACTGTTCACAGAACGTTTCTGACCCAGTTTTTGTGATTAATATGTCAGGTTGGCGAGGTGGATCAATATCACACCCGTACTAGTCGGAGAAGTTTTTAATAACGCTGTATTTGGATATCAGTCGGCAGTAGCTTCGACAATACTAGCAAAACGAAGAGGTATTCAACGCATAAAAAAGTCGGTAGAATGTTGAAAACTGAATTAAGAATCGACATCATCGCATTCGGGACACTCCCATCAGCGCTCCGTGCCCTCTCTTCAGCAACAAGCAAAGAGTTACAGTTCCGATGGTACCAGTAACCGTCTGATTATACATCCGTCTCGCCTTGCCATTGAGTGTTAAGCGTCGGCCAGATCCCCTGGTAACTCCTCGCAGCGCTATTATCCTCGGACCGTAATAATTTATTTGTGCCGCCGCACTGTTCACCCCCTCCCAAAAGTGCCCTCACAACATCTAGCTTGTCATACACAAATTCACCACCAAGTGGTGCAGAATCAAATACTCTATCTGCCTGCTCGTTTCCCAACACTCCAGCGTTACCTGGAGAAAATATCCAATGCAGGCAAACTATCCACGACCTCTGAAGAGATACCTGCCTGCCACTCTGCACGTTGGTAGTGTGTCGCTAACCCAGCGACTAAAATTTCAACGACTAAAATTGCAATTCGTTATCGGTTGAAAGATACAATAGATGTTTGACTATTCTCAATATTTATTGGGATTCTGAAGCATTCTCAACTAAACTACACATTTTGATTTTTGATTTTTGATTTCAAATGTGATACCACTGGCAAAACGTCAACATGACTGATTCGGGATATGTGAAGCGAACGCATCCTGAAGAGAGGAGGGGGAGAGACTCGTCAAACAAACACTGGAATGGGAAAACACTTGATCCTGGAAACACGAACGTCCTAAAGAAACTCTTAGACGAAAATGGTAGGGGAGATCAAAGGTACTGACCTGATTCCACCAATGAAATAAACAGTTCAAACGAACAGAGTAATCGATCGACTGATAGGATTGTCACTGCGGGCTGCTCGCTAAACGTTCGCCATAATATCCTAAGATTTGAAAATCTCGATATGCAAGGCAGACCAACAAGGCAGATAGCAAATACCCCGTTCAACCTTGTTACATATTTCAATTAGAGCATGAGAATTGGCTACACCGGCCAGGCGTTACCTGCATTCCTGTGCGAGTTAGTCGAATAGACTGGCAACCATGTGTGGTATACAAATGACATAGCAAGATGATGGTGATGAAATATAGAAGACAGGAAGTTGCACTGTACCACACTGGAGTCAACAGTCTTTGAATTTTCGTGGCAACCCAGAAGATTCTGCTCAATAAATACGAGTTACTGCCTATAGTTTCCCTGAACTGCCGCAGCGTAGTGGCTAACCGACTTGCCTACCGCCCAGAAGATCACAGTTCAAATCCTTTGGAAAGCTACCACAGACAACAAATGCCTGTACCAGGGCAGCACACTTTCGCGTTTCTTCCATTGTCGGTGGGCAGTGAACAATATTTATAAAGTAGAATTTTAACAATTGTTTATGTTTTCGTGGTTGTAATTGTATTATTGTTCCTTTGTGCTTTACGCTGATGAAAGCTTTCTAGTCGCAACGTTGATATGTTTATCGTTCGTGATTGCTTTAATGAGCATTTGGCTAGCACTTCTCATTTGGTTTGATATCTTTTCACAGGAAAAATACAAATTAAACAATTACTTTATAATGTAAAAATTGCGCGAAGAGGTTGGGGAAGTTGGTGGGTATATCTGCCGTCTTCGTAATGGTGGTTGACTGCAGTATATGTGTATCTCCGTAATAGTGGTTGACTGCAGTATATGTGTGTCTCCGTAATGGTGGTTGACTGCAGTATATGTGTATCTCCGTAATGGTGGTTGACTGCAGTATATGTGTGTCTCCGTAATGGTGGTTGACTGCAGTATATGTGTATCTCCGTAATGGTGGTTGACTGCAGTATATGCGTATCTCCGTAATGGTGGTTGACTGCAGTATATGTGTGTCTCCGTAATGGTGGTTGACTGCAGTATGTGTGTATCTCCGTAATGGTGGTTGACTGCAGTATGTGTGTATCTCCGTAATGGTGGTTGACTGCAGTATATGTGTATCTCCGTAATGGTGGTTGACTGCAGTATGTGTATCTCCGTAATGGCGGTTGACTGCAGTATGTGTATCTCCGTAATGGTGGTTGACTGCAGTATATGTGTATCTCCGTAATGGTTGTTGACTGCAGTATGTGTGTATCTCCGTAATGGTGGTTGACTGCAGTATATGTGTATCTCCGTAATAATGGTTGACTGCAGTATATGTGTATCTCCGTAATGGTGGTTGACTGCAGTATATCTACTGCTGACTGGATATTGCGTGGTGAAGCCCTAATCTTTTCCACGGTGTTGCTCACGTAGCGTTGTCTGATAGCCACGAGACCGTTATGTCCGGATATTAGGTCACCAAAATTTATTTTTTAGACATGATGTGGAAAAAACAAAACAATAGAGAGTACTCACCTTGTAACCCCCTGAAGTAAGACCGGCGTTTCTCTTGGCCAGGACGCATTTCATTCTCAAGAAAAACGATCTTTCTATTTCAACATCTGAGGATAAATTATTCAAAACATACAATAATGCCCACAATGCTCGGGAACGAACAGAGGCAGGGTTAGACACGATAGTAGCAGAGTGCACCAGGGGGCGATAAGCACGATAATATTGTTTTATTATTAGCGTTTACTGGCTTTAAACTCTAGCAGAATGTTTTGATTGTTCGTCCGCCTCTGGACTGGAGTCATGTTCTAGAACCAAAGTGTTGCGTGCTAATTCGTTTTACAGATCTGACTTATGCAGACTGTTTGTTCCATGTCTTTCAGGCAGATAGACATCGACTTTGAAGGAAGCTCCTAATTAGTCGACTTTTACGACATGCTGTTTATTAGGACAGTGGATCTATTCTTGTTTTCACAGTGAGCTTCGGGCACCGGATAATACGCAAATTCCCGTTAAAGCAAAATTACATGTATTACACACCAGACCAACGCAGGTTGAAGCACGGCTGACTCGAGCATTACAGGCCATCCAGGTCAACGGAAATTACCGTTTAAAAAAAGTCCGTTAGGCCGGTCTGTTTACACTATTTTTCTTTAATATATTTATGCACAAATTAAACAACAGTTAAATTAATTTACAACACATTTTATTGAATGATTTATCATTTTAAAGATAAACAAGTGTGCTATTAAAAATATAACAATAACGGTTTTTGCAGACAAACATAAATGCATTTACCAAAGTCAACATGAACCCACAAATCGATAACGTGTAGCAATAAATTGAAGTTGTTCCAGCAAAAGTAAAGAAACATTACTGTTAACTCTTTGATTCTGAGAGGTTATTGATCACAGGATGGAGGAGGGAGGAGAGGGGGTGCAATTTTTTACTTTAGCAATTTCAGCGAATTAAAATGAATATTTCAACTGCAACTGCTGTTCAACATATACATATTATACACACAATGAATATAAATGATTGATGAATAATTTTACTATTAGTAGACTTCTACAGCATATAATTATACTGCTAGTTAATAATTAGCAAAAAAGCAGTATGTACAGTCAATATGAAAGTGATAGGTGCAATAATTATTTCCTCAGGACCAATTTTTCATAATAATGCTATATCAGTACTAAATATTTATCCTCATGGCAAAAACAACATAAACAAATCTTTCCAATTTCATCGTGTTGGATGAAATCAGTTCATTATCACTATGAATTTTTTGGTAACGGTTTTAATATACATTACACATATTCGCGAATACTACATGTAACTTCCAGTTTAAAATCAGCTATTAATGTTTTGTCCATTTGTAGCAAAGTCTTACATGAAATACATTAAAATTTTCTATTATAGACAGATCCAGCAATATAAGATAAAAATACCTGTATACCTTCAACATAAAACAAATCATAGTCATTAAGGAAAAAAAAAATTACGAGTGAACTAAAATTCCCTTGATAGGACTGCAACTTGGTGTAGCTTATTTCATATAAGAAACACAGCAATAAGCCTATGACAACTGAAAACATGATGGAAGCAGTTAGCTCTAGACACCACAGGGAGGTATTAAACAAGACATCACAAGAACAGAAGTTTGTGATGTAAATATATGTTAAGACAGTTTTAATAATTTGCAACAACTTATCATGAATGATATATTGCTTTAAAGGTAAGTGATGCACATTGAATCAGACCATACAACTGCAAACGCTGTTAAATACAAGAAAAGACTCGCTGACTCCTTAACGAGCATGTCGTAGGAGTCGACTCATTGTTGCTTCCTTTGAAGTTGGAATGCGTTTGCCTGAGATGCAAGAAACCAGCGGTCTGCATACAAATGAGTCAAATCTGTATAATGGATGTGCACGCGCAACAACCAGTGTCTGGAACAAGACTAAGCTCCACAAGAAAAGATTCACTGACCCCTTAGCGAGCATGTCGTAGGAGTCGACTCATTGTGGCTTTCTTCGAAGTCGGAATGCATTTGCCTGGGATGCAAGAAATCAACGGCCTGCATGCAAATAAATCAGACCTGTGTAAAAGATGTACACGGAAAAACCAGTGTGTGGAACAAGACAACTCCACAAGTGGATGAACAACCAGAACGTTCAGCCAGAGTCTGCATCCAGTGAACACAAAGAAGAAGTTGATGCACAAAAATTAACACAAATAGTTGAGAATTAATATTAGAGTACTGCTACAACATATAATTATTTATACTGTTAGTTAATGATTGATAAAGAGGCAGGTGACTTGCTGTGAGAGGTTAGTTAATTATGAACACTTTGCTCCCCTTACCCAAAGGCTGCTAATCCAAGAAATCTTGACACTGTATATCCATAACGAATCACACATGCTTGGAGAACGCCACTTATAAGTATACACAATCAATATTATAGCAGGTTACTAGATTGGGGTGTCGGCTCTGTGGCTAAGTCGATGTGAACGCTTCGTAATGCCGGGGTACCGGGTTCGATCCCAGCTGCAGGCCACGCCCCTTGCGTTGGTTTCGACAGTGGTATCAGGGAGCCGACCGTCCAGAGGCAATGGCAAACTACTGGACGTAAATGTGCCTAGAGAAACTACACAACAGCCAGGAGCTGCTGGGGTTGGTTCTGCAACGTCCTGTACAGGATACGCAACCTAGTAAATTGGCAAGGGTGTTACGCGTATTCTCGCCTGAGAATTTGCTCTGAGTAGTTGTCTCCAAAGCAATTACTGCCACAACCGGAAAACCTCACTCTTGAACAAATAATGTTGATCTGAAATCAATCTGCACTAAGATTCCTTGACATCATGTACACAGGTGTTAGCCCTACAACTTCATAGTATTCGAAACACGGAGGAAATCATTAAAGCTGGTATTCCTTATAAATCTGTAGCTAAGCTTGCATGAGATGTTATGTCAGACCTCACATCCGACTGTCCCTCGTGAATTTCAGTTCGCTGTAGTCTGATACTGCAGAGTTTAAAAATCTTGTATATCCGCTATCCATTAAAAACACAACATTTTCTAGGAAATTTTATATTCACACTCCAATCAAAAAACAGTTGAATATACTCAAAGGGCTGTGTCCACAACACAAACAAAAAACAAAAAATGGCTATCTACACACAAGTCGATGTATGAAGACGGCCTAACTGCTTAGAGGTCACGTGAGAAGTTCTCCGCCCTTAAAAAAAAACTGGAGCCGGCCGTGGTGTAATAACAGAAGCTATTGTGATACCCATGAGTAAACTGATCGTTATGTAAGCAGAGAAATACTCTGATCTGTTTAAAACTACTGTGGTATTCGCGACAACAGTTACAATATAACAATGGAACCTGTTTTGGGCATTTCAGCTGTCAGCATTTCGGCTTGTAGTATGCTAGTATATTAATGTAATTTTGGGTATGATCTTATCAACGTAGAGTGTAATATCAGAAGCTTTAAATTCTGCAACCTATCTTTTGGGCCATTTTTACTGGCAATTACAGCTTAGTTTGAAAATGGTTAATTGAATCTTTGTGTGTCATACAGACAAGCGTGTCAGCCCTCTCGTGCAGACAGGCGTGTCAGCCCTCTCATGCAGACAGGCGTGTCAGCCCTCTCATGACGATACGTCTCAGGTCTGTATTTCCTCGTGTGGGCTCCAGGGTCCTATTTTGGGAAGAACTATAATAGACCCTAGTCTGTACAGACGCATTTCGTAAGAATCGACAAACTGGCAGTTTCCTTCGAAGTCAGAGTACATCTGCCTGAGGAAAAGAAACCAACAGCCTGCATGCAAATGAGTGAGACTTGTGAAACTGATGTGCACACAACACTCAGTTTCTGGAACAGGACTAGAGTCCAGAGGAGGACGAACAACTATAATTTTCCGCCGGAGTTTACAGCCGTGAACGCGAAGAAGAAGAAGAGAAAGAAGAAGAAGAAGAAGAAGAAGAAGAAGAAGAAGAAGAAGAATAAGAAGAAAAAGAAGAAGAAGAAGAAGAAGAAGAAGAAGAAGAAGAAGAAGAAGAAGAAGAAGAAGAAGAAGAAGAAGAAGAAGAAGAAGAAGAAGAAAAAGAAGAAGAAGAAGAAGAGGAAGGAGGAAGGGTGAAGTAGGGGGAGGGGGAGGGGGAGGGGGAGGGATAGGGGAGGGGGGAGGAGGGAGGAGAAGAAGGCCTTTCCCGTTTATGCCAAGTGGCTATGCCAGCCTTGTATTTGTCTGTTTTTCCTCGGTTGCTTTCTCATCACGTTTGTCAGCTGTCACTAGTCTCTAATTTTTCAAAAGCCGACCCACCCACCCACCCTTCCCCTATAAGTGATCGTGGCTTTTAGGTAAACCCAGCCTTAAATGTGAACCAAGTAAATTCATGAGAAGCAAAGGCGGCCGGCGTTATGTTAATCACATCATCTAACAAGTGCCGATTGGTCTATAAAAAAAGGGGGATTGGGGGGGGGGGGGGCGGGGGAACTCAGACAATCACTGTTTCAAGTTGTGAGAGAAGAGGGGCTGGACTTGTCTCGGACACACCCACTTTTGTTGTTGTTCTTGTTGTTGTTGCTTAGAGGGTGAGTAGGGCGTGTTTCGGGATGGGGTGGTAAACATTTAGGTATGTAGATAGGTTTGTGGCTAGAAGATTGACAGACTGAAAGACACAGAAACAGGCAGTTAGACAAGAACAGACAGACATGCAGAAAGACAGACAGACAGACCAACATACACGACATAAAAGTCAGACAGACATACAGAAAGTCAGACAGACCAACATACAAAACAGACTGACCAGTCAGACATGACAGACATGACAGACAAGTCAGATAGACATACAGAAAGTCAGACAGACCAACTTACAAGACATAAAAGTCAGACAGACATACAGAAAGTCAGACAAACCAACATACAAGACAGACAGACCAGTCAGGCATGACAGACAAGTCAGACAGACATACAGAAAGTCAGACAGACCAACATACAAGACAGACAGACCAGTCAGACAGGGCAGACAAGTCAGAGAGACATACAGAAAGTCAGACAGACCGACATACAAGACAGACAGACCAGTCAGACAAGTCAGACAGGACAGACAAGTCAGACAAACATACAGAAAGTCAGACACACTAACATACAACACAGACAGACCAGTCAGACAAGTCAGACATGACGACAAGTTATACACGACAGACACGGGTTGCTAACCTTGCAGTATATGCGTGTGGTAAGGGTGGTGGACGTTCAGCAAGGCAGTCATCTCATCGTGGTCGGCCGGGTGGATGTACTCATAGATACTGCCTCCGGTCAGCTCCACCTTTAGTATGGACAAACACGAGGCTCTTGTTTCAATCAATCTATTTATTTGTTTCTATTTACATTTGTCTTAAACAAAATCGCGGCGCCGTCTCCACAAACAAGGGTATCTGTGTGTTCCCCGTCCTATCTTTATAAATATTACGTGCTGATGCTCCCGTCTATTCCAGGTGTGTCTCCGGTACAACTAACCGTTTATCGTAGAAATTAAATCCTGGTACTCAGAGGTTCTGAAATGATTAAAAGCGTTTACTGATCTCCAGGTTACGAATCCCAGTTGTTCTTTGTACTCCTTATGTCCCATAACCGTAGTATTTTTACTCATTCGGGATCAAAGATACGAGTCAATGAGTAAGTCATGAATGGTTATTTAAAAAAAAAATAAAGACAATTTGAAAACCGTTATTTCCACCAACATTAAGTCACTTACAATATCATTTTATCAGCCCATCCAAAAATGCTTCATAGAACTGCGTGCTCTGTTTTCTGAAGCACATTTTTACTTCACATTCAACTTTTGCGTCATTTACGAAATATCTCCCGCCACAGTGGGTTTTCAGTGGACCAAAAATGTTAAAATCGCTAGTGGCTAAGTAAGGCGGATGTTCCAAAAGTTCCTACCATAGATGGCTAATTTTTTCCCAAGTGAACCAGCCGTATGTAGCCTGGCATTTTAACGTAGGAGCAGTACTCCTTTAGTCAGCAGGCCTGGACGTTTTCTTCAAACGGCATCACGAAACATCGATAGAACTTTACAGATGAATCAGCATTCACACTGTCACCTTTAAAAAAAAAATTGTTTAAAAGAATTCCCTGACAATCCCAGAAAACTGTCAGCATAACCTTCCCTGCTAATGGCATCATCTTGAATTTTTTTTACACAAGGGGAAGAACGATGTGTCCACTGCATTGAAGCACGCTTTGATTCGGGCTGGTAGTGATGCACCCACGATTCGTCGCCAGTAATAATCCTGTTCATCATGTCTTCTCCTTCATTTGCCTATCAACAGAGATGCTGCAAGGACAGGCCTAATCGGTTCATTTCATTTTCGTCCGTCGATTGTCTGGGTACCCTGAGCACACTTTCTTCAATTTTAATTGCATTATATTTTATTCTGAACCATGAGGGCACCCAACTGAAGCTGCTACAGAGTCAACTGTTACTCGCCTGTCACCTCTAATCATCTCATCCACCCGTTGCACGGATGCGTTTGTTGCAATCTCAACAGGACGACCAGATCGGACTTCATCAACAATTCTAAAGCGTTGTTGATAATTTTTTTTTTTAACCCAGCTGTGCACCGCTTTCCGTGATAACAATTTGTCAGCACAAATAGGAAGCATTTCCTTTTGAATGTCCTTTGAAAACAGCCCCTTTGCCCCCCCCCCCCAACAATTCTAAAGCGATCTTGATAGATTTTTTTTACCCAGCTGTGCAACGCTTTCCGGAATAACAATTTGTCAGAATAAACAGGAAGCATTTCCTTTTGAATGTCCTTTGAAAACAGCCCCTTCGCCCCCCCACCCCACCCCACCCCCCCAAAGAAAACCGCACAGCATGTTGTTCTTTGAGAGTACACTCCGTAAGTACAGTAGCCATTTTTTTTTCTGAGTTGCCAATGCGCATGCAACACCTAGTGCCACCTAACGAACAGAGACATAAAGTTTGAAGTTTCTGTTCGATGTTGCTGTCACCTGTGACACTTTTAGAAACCACCAACTACATTTTCCTGCCATCAAATAACCATTTGTGACTTACTTAATGACTTCCTCTCGTAGTTACTCTAAAGCACACGCATTTTGTAGAGTTGTGAAGTATCAACCACCTGGCACCAACCCACGAAACAACCAACCCATCCACCTAACAACCAGCGAAACCCACTGCCAGGCACCACACACCAAACCAATCGTAGAATTGTTAAGTCTCCCTGTGTGTTAGAGTCAGTATGTTGCTTGTCAGTTAAGAATTATCGTGTATAATTTCTGGTAGCTTTAACACACTGACCACAACCTCACTGTCAAGCGCGCACATGCAATAGTCAACACAAGATATCAACTTACCTGGGACAGTCCTAGATGAACAGAAGCTGTTTCAGAGATGTACATGATCTTGCCATCAGGCGCCACCACAAAGATGAACCCGTCTAGAGTCTGTTTCAGGAGAACAGTAAAATAGTCAATATTATCATAGCTGTTTTCTCAGTAATAATAATAATAATAATAATAATAATAGTAATAATAATAATAATAATAATAATAATAATAATAATAATAATAATAATAATAATAATAATAACAATAATAATAATAATGGGAGACGCCGTGGCGTAGCGACTAGACGCTCGCGCGCGGATCGGAAGGTCGTAAATTCGCTCCCTGGCGGAGCCGGACTTTTTTTCAAAAATTACGTTGACTCCCAGGTCGACCCAGCCTTGAGTGGGTACCAGGTGCAGTACCGGGAAGTAAAGACGGCCGGCGTGATGCTAACGACATGACCTATCTTGTGCCTATTGGTCTATAAAAATATAGGTCTAGCCCTATATGCCCTATACGCTTAGAGGTGTGAAAAAATGACCTTTACTTTTTTTTTTACTTTTAATAATAATAACAATAAAAATTATAATAATCCCCACCACCATCATCATCATCAAACCTGCATTTATGTTTATTCTTGATTAGTGGTATGGACTTTAGGAATAATAATAAGAAGATATAATCTCTCTCTCTCTCTCTCTCTCTCTCTCTCTCTCTCTCTCTCTCTCTCTCTCTCCATGCACACGCACACACATCTGTTGTTTCAACCCCGTATCTTAACAGATTTATGTTTTTATTTTATTTATCCAATCTCTGCTATATCGAAAATCTGTCGTTTTGAAAATGAGTACTATATTTCGAAGGAAACAATGGAAAAGTGTGGCAAACAATATTTCCAGTAAGATCAAACATTATCGACATCTAGAGAGAGAAAAAATGCTTTAGAAATGCGAAATATTCAATGGTTTGCATACTCAGCGTGTTCGGCGCAGAAACCTTACAGTGCGCAGGTAACTAGAAACGCGAATTAAATCTCCGAAGATGTAGATATTCAGAAGAAGAAAACCTTGCATGTCATGGAAACACAAGCTATCAAATACAGAGGTTTTGGGGAGAGAGAGAGAGAGAGAGAGAGAGAGAGAGAGAGAGAGAGAGAGAGAGAGAGAGAGAGAGAGAGAGAGAGAGAGAGAGAGAGACATAGAGACATAAAGACAGAGAGGCAGAGAGACAGAAAATGGGCGAAATGGTGGCAGGTGAAAAAAGACAGAGACAGAGACAGACAGAGACAGAGAGAGAGACAGAGACAGAGAGAGAGAGAGAGAGACAGAGAGAGACAGAGACAGAGACAGAGAGACAGAGACAGAGAGAGACAGAGACAGAGAGAGAGACAGAGAGAAAGAGACAGAGAGAGACAGAGAGAGAGACAGAGAGAGACATAGAGAGACAGAGAGAGACAGAGAGAGACAGAGAGAGACAGAGAGAGACAGAGAGAGACATAGAGAGACATAGAGAGACAGAGAGAGACAGAGAGAGACAGAGAGAGACAGAGAGACATAGAGACATAGAGACAGAGAGACAGAGAGACAGAAAATGGGCGAAATGGTGGCAGGTGAAAAAAGCGTCGCTGAAGGATATAAAGAAAAAAGACTTGAAACATTTTGGCCACATTAAAGGACATAAAACTCTTATAAAAATCAGACTGCAGAGAAAACTCGAAGGCAATAGAGCACGAGACAAACCCCGACTTATGTTAGAGAACATCATCGAAGGATGGACGAGCAGCTGTCTGAGAGTGTACGTGTACCACCAAGAGACAATTGCAAATCCAATACAGCCTGCCTTCATTATGGAAATGACACCTGTTTGATTTGAGACTCTTGTAAAAACCATACTGGCGAGGAACAGTCTAAGGCAACAGCGCAACATGCAGACAACAATACAAGTGCGAGGACAACATCAAGAAATTGACGAACAGCCACCAGACAGTGTAAAACTAGGATAATAGACGGATTGAGAAGGAAGATGTACTTTGATACTGATTTGTGCACTGCCGAGTATATCACAACGGTTCTGATCAGTTACCGCTGCGAAATCCCAGTGCATCTGCCTTAGATGCAAGGAACCAACACTCTGCATACACATAAGTTAGTACTGTTAAAGGCAGTCAAATGCAATAGAGCAAAAGGCAGCAACAGTGCCAGGACAACAACACTGAACTGACGATCAACCGTTCAAGAGAGTAGACCCTTGATAGTAGACAGTGTGTGTTGAAGACTCATTGCAACCTTCATTGTGGAGTAGGCATTTGATTAAACACCTCATCACTGGTGACCGGGTGGCACACTGGCTGGCCAGTAGATGATGACTTCGTCGGTCGGGACAGTATTTGGGTCTGTTTCCATTGATCGCATCAATACTGCAAGAGTCCTTTTTAGAGCTACTTTTTGGAGTAAAAATCTAAACAATTCTAAATTGCGCAAATAACCTAAGTCACAAATATAACCTAAAGCTCCCGCTTCCGGAAAGCTGGCTGAACGTTACGATTTTGTTGTTGTTGAGCAAAGCAACAACGATTGAATATAATTTTTTTAAAATTGTTACGGGAAATAATATACAGAAATAAAATGTGTTAAACGAAAAAAAAAAAAAAAAAGCTGTTCTATTGCAGAAAAATGATAGTCTTATCCAATGGGATACTTGACATCTTTCTGGACAGCACCGAATCGAAATTGATTTTCTCGTCACTGGCTGCGATCGTTTTTGAGCCTGTCTGTGGACGTTTGATGTAGGAACTGGGAGACATTTGTGATGGAGACAATCGTGGAATCCACTTCCAAGAAGTAATCTGTTTTGTGTTTGCCGGGACACGAATCGCATTTTGATTGGTCGATGTCTCCCGCAGCTAGGAGGTACGTTAAGAGAGTGTAGGCTTGTACGTGTCTGGGGGCATCTGGCCTTAGAGGTTTTGGCTGGGAGTTGTGAATCTTTGACCGACGCTGATAGAGAGAATGAGAGTGAGTGTGTGTGTGTGTGTGTGTGAGAGAGAGAGAAGAGAGAGAGAGAGAGAGAGAAGAGAGAGAGAGAGAGAGAGAGCGAGAGAGAGAGAGAAGATGGGAACACAGTGGCGTAGCAACGTCAGGTGGTAGCCTATGTGAAAGATTTCCTCCCCCCCCCCCCCCCCCCCACGACCCCCACGACAAGCTGTTTGTGACGTGTATTTCAGAAACAACATCTCTCCTGCCCTCAATGCTTTCGGATTGGTTCATTCACTAAAAACGATATTCGACACAGGTAGTTAACTAAATGTCTTTGTTTCGGAGCTTTTACAAAACAATGCCGGGGTGCTGGGTTCGATCTCAATTGCGGGCCTTGTGCCTTGCCTTGATTTCGACAATGGTATCGAGAAGCCGACTGTCAAGAAGACAGTGGCAAACTAATGGACGCCTTCTTCTTCTTCTTCTTCTTCGCGTTCACCAGCTGTACACTCTGGCGGAAAGTTCTGGTTGCTCGTCCACTACTGAACTGCAGTCCTGCTCCAGAACCTGAGTGTTGCGTGTGCATCAGTTTTACAGATCTCATTCTCTTGAATACAGACTGTTGGTTCCTTGCCTCTCCGGCAGATGCACTCCGACTTCAAAGGAAGCTCCCCAATTAGTCGACTCTTACGACATGCTCTTGGGGAGGCAGTGGGTCTATTCTTGTTTTCCCCACAATGGGACCCCGGAACCCACACGGGGATAATGGACGCCAATTTGCAAAGAAAAAACACAACAGCTAAAAACAAAAAAAAACAAAATGCTGGGGTTAGTTCTGCAACGTCCCGTAAAGGATATGCAACTATATATCTATTTTGAAAATACTATATATATATATATAGAAAGTTGTAATGGTGTCATTAGTTAAGATAGATATAGTGTTGCTGAACAAAATGTGATAATCTACATTGGGGGTCTTCTGAACCTGATGGTGTAAGTACCTTCATCCCCCTCCCCCCACCCAAAAAAAAAAAAAAAAAATTAGTCTTAGGAAAAGGGAAATGTGGGAGGGGGGGGGGGGGGAGAGGGCCCTCGAGACTACCTAAACAACTTGTAAGTAGGCGCCTGCGAGGCTCTTCTGTCTATGTTCCTGTTCCTTTCAAGAAAAAATATCAAAATCTCGACAACGTGGAACCTGCTGCTAGCTAGCCAAAGCTGCTAACTTTCTCCGGTTATGTTTGTGGTCTGGTTTATTTGCCCCAACTTTCGTCACTAAAGTTCAGCCATTTGCGCCATCTCTGGGTTTAGTCCGTCTTCCCTCGAGGTCAGATCGGTCTTTCCTTTTCTGTGTCTGTGAGTTCCTCTTGCTCTTTCCTTCTTGGTGTTTCCACTTTTTTTTCTTGCCCCTTCTATTTTGGTCAGGCCTATCTCGTAGGAGAGCGAGCTTCTCAACATAACGTCCTTTGGACCACCATTTATAGTTTTAATATTTTGAATATTTAACTCTGCCAGAAAGTTCTAAAAGCAGTTTTTGGGTTTGAATAGATCCAAAATAGTGAAAAAATTTCGCGTATGACTATAATGGTATTATTATTATTATTATTATTATTATTATTATTATTATTATTATTATTATTATTATTATTATTATTATTATTATTACGGAAATGGAATCGCTGTGGTGTGGCAGTTAGACACTCGCCTGCGAATTGGAAGGTCGTGGGTTAGGTCCTGAAGGAGCCGGAATAATTTTTTTTTTAAATGACCTCGGCCTCCAGGTCGACCTAGCCTTAAGTAGGTACCAGATGCAGTCCTGGGAAGTAAAAGCGGCCGGCGTGATCGAGTGTCGATTAGTCTATACAATATAGGTCAAGCCCTATATGCCCAAATTCGCTTGAAGGCGTGAAAGAGGGTCCTTGACTTTTTACTTTACTTTGGTTCTTTTACTTTCATTAATGAGATTATTCAAGTTCCCCCTCTTCCAATGTGTAAATGTCGCTCCAATTGTCTTAATTTCTCCCCCGTAGTTTCTTTGTATTGGCCTCACTGTTTTAGTGCATGATTTTACTAAACAGTATTTAGTGTCAATCTTTTGTCTATATAGTTTTACTAAACAATTTTCAATGCAAATAGTTTGCATAGAAAGATTTACTAAACAATATGTGATGACAGTATTCAATATAGTGTTACCAGGAAACTGGTATAAAAATTTTTGAGTAAACTTTCGACAAAAATACGTTTTGCTAGATAGTTTTACTAAACAATGTTCGTTTTGCTAATAGTTTATATAGATAGTTTTCCTAAACAATGTTCGTTTTGCTAATAGTTTATATAGATAGTTTTACTAAACAATGTTCGTTTTGCTAATAGTTTATATATATAGTTTTACTAAACAATGTTCGTTTTGCTAATAGTTTATATAGATAGTTTTACTAAACAATGTTCGTTTTGCTAATAGTTTATATAGATAGTTTTACTAAACAATGTTCGTTTTGCTAATAGTTTATATAGATAGTTTTCCTAAACAATGTTCGTTTTGCTAATAGTTTATATAGATAGTTTTACTAAACAATGTTCGTTTTGCTAATAGTTTATATAGATAGTTTTACTAAACGCTGTCTGAATGTTTACGTAGCGGGTAATAGAGAACCCAGCAGGGTTCTTAACGCAGACCTGATTGCAAGCTCACGCGTTGGCCAGCTGCAAGTTTAATTGCAGACCGAAGGGGGAAAATTGCAGACAGTTGATTGAAGTACGGTCTGTGTCCGCCCATATCTGTGCTGTACCAACAGGCGTGATCTATGACTGGTCACGAAGCACGGGCCCATACAGGTGATGGAGGTGGGGTGGGCGGGAGACTGCGGTGTGATGAAACGGCACGGTCCCTCAACTTCACACAGCGCCCCAAGGACAGGCTCATTAACTCGGTGAGTGATGCGGTCGTTTCTTGTACGTATGTTGTACTAGGGTCTTCTCGAGTTACGACCGAGTTCCGTTCTGATTAACAGGTCTTTAGTCCAACTGGTTAAAAGTCGAATTTATATTTTCTCAATATATTTTCATTCCAACGGGTTATACAAATTGCAAATAAAACACAAAAGTTCAGTCTATGTACGTATACTTATTGTTGCCTGACACCTTTTGTATTTCCAGGCGATAGTGTTGTGCTGCGCTATGAGGAGGCATGGGTCTCACTGCCTATGGCGATGGCGAGTGTGATTATCAAAACCCGTCCGCGTTAGGAGTTTTCCACGATCAAAGAACGGAAATTCAGGACCGTTGTTGTCAACTGCTGTGTCATCCTTTCTGCAATCATGTCTTCCTTTATTCTGATTCTCTTCCTGATGTGCTCCCTCTACCAACACGTATTATTATTGTACATTATGTAAAAAAAAAAAAAAAAAAACACACATATGTATTCTATTGCATCGGTTCTGGGAATTTTCATTACCCTGCCAATGTAAAAGTCTTTCTTTATTTACTATTTTATTTCTTTATTTTAAGTGGTCGCATATGCAGATGGTTGTAAATCGCATAGGTAACGTCGTGAGTCGGGAAGAAGGTGTACTTTGATGGTGGCTTTCACTCTGCCGACTATGTCACAATGTGCCCTGAGCAGTTACTATTTCGTTTCGTTTTCTGACAGCAAAATTTGTGATAGACACATTATCCTCGTGATTTGACGAAAGAAAGAAGAATGCGACGTAGGATGTTTCCGAAATACCCCTGATGTACAAAGTAATCAATGTGTATGGCTGCAGTGGTCAGAATTAGGTAAAACCGGTGGCCCATTCTTACTTTTAAACGTCTGAAATGGACGCCAATACTTTTTAATAGTTATATTACACACACACAAGTAAGTCTCAATTATATTTTGAAAAAAAGAGCATTGGCGGTATTTTTGTGTTTTGTGAATGACCACATCATCAGTCTGCCGATTCTTTGCAGAACGTCGCTCTCGCCACTACATGCCTGCAATTATCTCTTTATCTAGCTAGTTCTTCCACCCCATGTGCTTTTATAGCTAATACATCTTCCATTTCTGGTATCCTATTTCGCAGAGGTCTCTCTCTACACTGCTTTCCGGAAACACAACCTTCTACCACCGTTGTTCTATCCCTGCCACCGTTGTTCTATCACTGGCACCGTTGTTCTCTCCCTGCCTCCGTTGTTCTATCCCTGGCACCGTTGTTCTCTCCCTGCCTCCGTTGTTCTATCCCTGCCACCGTTGTTCTATCCCTGCCACCGTTGTTCTATCCCTGGCATCGTTCTTCTCTCCCTGCCACAGTTGTTCTATCCCTGGCACCGTTGTTCTATCCCTGCCACCGTTCCCTGTCACCGTTGTTCTATCCCTGTCACCGTTGTTCTATACCTGCCACCGATGTTCTATCCCTGCCACCGTTGTTCTATCCCTGTCACGGTTGTTCTATCCCTGCCATCGTTGTTCTATCCCTGTCATCGTTGTTCTATCCCTGCCATCGTTGTTCTATCCCTGCCATCGTTGTCCTATCCCTGCCACCGTTGTTCTATCCCTACCACCGTTGTTCTATCCCTGGCACCGTTGTTCTATCCCTGCCACCGTTGTTCTATCCCTGGCACCGTTGTTCTATCCCTGGCACCGTTGTTCTATCCCTGCCACCGTTGTTCTATCCCTGGCACCGTTGTTCTATCCCTGCCACCGTTGTTCTATCCCTGGCACCGTTGTTTTATCCCTGACCGTTGTTCTATCCCTGCCACCGTTGTTCTATCCCTGGCACCGTTGTTCTATCCCTGGCACCGTTGTTCTATCCCTGCCACCGTTGTTCTATCCCTGCCACCGTTGTTCTATCCCTGGCACCGTTGTTCTATCCCTGCCACCGTTGTTCTATCCCTGGCACTGTTGTTCTATCCCTGCCACCGTTGTTCTATCCCTGGCACCGTCACTTTAACATGGCTAAAATAGCACAGCTTTGGTGACAGGATGCTGTTCATGAGCCAATTCTCCTCGATGCTCAGATCATATAGGATGTCGATGATTTTCTTATTCTTGTTCTATGGTATTCTGATAGTTTTCTGTATCATCTTAATTCAAAAGCTTCGATTGTGTATTTTTTTCATAAATGATTGAGTAAGTGTCCATGATTCGCTTTTATAATTGGCCAACCGGAAAAGATACACGCTCTCACAATTTTCACTTGAACTTGATCGCTGGTGCTGTGCATTAGGTTCTCCATGCTGTTTAGTCTCCGTATTGCGTATGGGAGAATATTAGCAAGTTTTACCTCACCAAGACCTCACACAGAGCGACAAACACCAGGTGACACAAAGTGCTACCATGCGGATGAGGATCACCCGTGGAGAAACCCGGAAACCCCGTTCAACTGTTAGGTTAAATTAGGGCCCCCAGCAATAGCCAGTTTTGGGCTACAAAATAAAAGAAAAACTGCATCTCACATGAGGACGACTTGCGAAAAGGAGTCTTTTTCTGATTTCTGTTGTGCAGTCGCCATTGCTGTTCCCTGTTTTGCCTACATTTTCGAAATCTTTGATATTTCAAATCTCTTGGATGGGGGGGGGGGGGGGGGGGTGGGGGGGGGGGGGGGGGGGGGGGGGGGGGCAAAGGGAAGGAGGGGGGGGGGGGGGGCAAAAAAGGGGGGAGGGTGTTACCTTTCTATTTTTTATAAATGATATCACGGACCCTAGGGTCTCTGTACCAGAAACTGGGATCCAATGATATAGCGACTTGTTTGGTACCGAAAGAGTTAAAAAAAAAAGCCAGACATTTCTAGCCAACAACTGTTTGACTAAATAAAGTCCCTTACCTGTAATAAATGAGAGCCCAGTTCCTTTTCTAGTGCAGTCTTCGGGGGTGACCTCTGACCCCAGGCATCGCCAAGACCTGCAATAGATAGACAAAGGAATAGTAATTTTTTTTCCTCTTTCACCATCAGTAAAAAACCTAAAGAAAATAATTCGTTTTTTTACGAAGGAAAACAGTATACATTCGGTGATTCCTAGCTAGGCACCATAACAGGTTGGACACGCTTCTCTCGGGCCGCTATTCAAGGCTATTCTGTGTGAAGAAATTACTGCATGGACGGTTATGTATTATATATGCATGTATATTACAACTCTCGTTTTCGAGCCCCAAAGGAGTGATTTTCCTTTCCACTCTTAAATCGCCGTGTTGCACGGCTTGTCCTATGTTGCGTGGGTGCCACGCTACGCTGCATATAGTCGTGCGACCTAGGCTGCATGCAATCGTGGGACGTAGGCTGCACTGTCTTGTGGGACAGGGTGAGAGGGGGGGGGGGCAGATGGGGTTAGGGCCAGTTCTGCATGTTTCGCGGCCGTTAAAAGCGCTCACATCCTGTGGTAAAGAACACGCGATATCGCCGGCCGCTAAAATCTAATAAAATGCTACGTGTTGTTGGCTGGTCACTAAGCGTCACACCCCTACAACATAGCACAAGCCGTGCGACACGGCGATTCATAAATTGGAAGGGAAGTCACTCTTTTTTTGGGGACCGAAAACGTGAGATGTACCCTACACACACACACACACACACACACACACACACAACATATATATATATATATATATATATATATATATATATATATATATATATATATATATATAGGTCTGGTTCTGTCAGGACAGGAACCCACGGCCTTCGGATTCGCACGCGAGCGTCTAGTCCCTATAATACGGCGCCTTCCAGTACTACGTTTTATACTTGTAATACCTCTCCCCCCCCCCCCCCCCCCACTATACTTTAATATGCGATATTTATTTGCCATGAAGAATATTTATTATTATGAATATTATTATCACTGTTACTATTATTATAGGTGCAGCCCCAGTGTAGCGGCTAGATTCTGGCTTGCGGACCTGAAAGTCGCCCGTTCAGTTGCGAACAGAGCCAGACTTTTTCAAACATGACCCTGGCTCAAAAGTTGACCAGACCTTAAATGGGTAACAGGAAAAGTCATTGGAATTTAAGCCAGCCGGCGTCATGTTGAGTACATCATCCACCGGGGGCCGATTGCTCTATAAAATATAGGTCTAGTACCATATGTCTAATCACCGCCAACTCTAGATTTATTGCTAAAGATGGCCGTGGTCTAACACGACTGCAGGCGTGGGTTTACTTGTACTACTATTATTGTTATGAAAACAAACATTTACGTCGGGTCTGATCTCATCGCACCGCTTTACACATAGCAAATGACCGTCAAATACAGGGCTGCCAATTGGATTTTTTTAAAAACCCCAGCTAAGCTGAACAGAAATCGAAGCACTACATAGGCAAGGAACAAAACAAACAAAACTCAGATTGTTAAAAAGTACAAATTTTATAGTTACGAAAAGAAACATTTGCCCACTTTTATATAAGGATATATACATATAAAAAAAAAAAAACCCACAGATTTCAAAATTTGAACCCTAGGCGTTAAATAAAAACCTAGATCTAGGGATAAGAACACATCATTGGCAGCCCTGCTTAAATATATTCTAATAAATTAACTTCTCCTGTAATCTTCCACTCGTTTTCGCCAGCATCCCCACACAATCTTGTACCAAGTTTATCTCTCCCCAGCCCCCCCCCCCCCAAACCATCCCCTACCCTTATTCTATAGCAAATGTTTTGTAGTAAGGAATTTCCTGTATCTCAACAAAGTTCAAGGCTACACATATATTACGCACAAACTGATACCTTTGACCTGTGACCTTATTACGTCACATAAAAAGAACACATTTATAAAACCCTCCCATTAGAAAAGTATGTAGGAGCAGTGTACTTCAAAACAAAAGCAGTCGCTATCAACAACTATTAGCCCTCACTTGCTCCACTCTCCTGTGATCAACTCCTCTAATTATCTTATCACAACCGCGACCAGAAGGGAGAGATATATCTGGGCCGAGTTACTAAGGCGGAGGGTTGGTGGGAAGAAAAGGAGGTCGCGTTTGATCCTCTGCAAGTATCGAATTTCCATTAATGGGATTTTGCTCGGCAATTTCTTCCGTGTGTGCGAAATGGGGCATAAAATTAGAGAACACCTGATAACTGGGATGTCTTATCCATGGCCCTTGCACCCGGGAGCATTAATTCCTGTTTCCCAAGTGCAGGCTGAGTTGGTCTACACGTATACACAACCACACATAAGCCTGTGCGCGCTGGCACACTCACACACACTCACATAGAGACCCGAGCACACGTGACTGTTTTCAACTCAGACGACGCGATCAACGAGCTTAGTTAGTTAGTTGGTTGGTTAGTTAGTTAGTTAGTTAGTTAGTTAGTTAGTTAGTTAGTTAGTTAGTTAGTTAGCTAGTTAGTTAGTTAGTTAGTTAGTTAGTTAGTTAGTTAGTTAGTTAGTTAGTTAATTAATTGGGTTGTCATCATTGTACTCCGGACATGTCCATAGGTGCTCAGAAACCCCAGCGTCCGGAGGCTAATAGTACCAGTTCTATGTTGATTAACAAGTTCTCTGATATACCCGGTGTGCGTCTCGTTTTCGCTATACTGATCTAAACACCCAAGTCTGTCACACTGACAAGTGATGCGGATTCACCCCCCTCCCCCAAAGTCCTTTACCCTGCCCATTTCTCGAAGGGCATTATTAAAATCAGCATGATCCAAAAGCTGACCGTCGGCAGTGATAGCGGATCCAGCCTATCTATCATCTTTTTCATTCCCATCGACGCCCGGGTGCCCCGAAACGAAAATAAAGGTGTGTCCACCCACAGTGGACTTCTGTAATAATTCAAGCTATTGTCTTTGCACCGAACCTGCCTGAACCCTCCGGTTCATACCCATTGAATCACTGAGTGCACATACAGGCTTATTAGTCCATTGGTGCTTAATTGGTTACTCGTCTAAGTACACTTGTTTCTGGGGCGAGACTCTGTCGTCATTTGGAAGTGACAGGTTCGAAATAAACCCTTCACATATAATGCTATATAGTGCAGTGTTCTTCGACCGGTGGGCCGCTGCCCATTGCTGGGCCACGGAAAAGTCAATGTGGGCTATTTGATTTTTCTTCCTTCAATCTGTAGGATTAATTAAGGACTTCCTATTTTTGCGAATAGCCTAAAAAAAAAAAAAAAAAAAATTAAATGGAACGAATTTTTTTTTCCCCGTAGCGTTTTGTATATCAGAAACAACTCTCCCGTCACATATATGACAATTTCGAAACCCTAAGCAGAAGATCCCGCATTAGTTAAAAACTGAATTTTGCGAACATCTTTTTTTTTTAAAAACTCCTGGAGCGATTCGAGACTTCAGAACAGGAAGGAATCTCTGGTACGGGCCCTTCTGTTTGCTTCGTATAAAATACTTTTCAGTGTCTCTGATATTTCTGCGGTCCATCTTCTGCGCGGTCAACCTCTTGATCTGTTACTGCTGTATCTGTATAACAATGCTGTCTGTGGTGCCCTGTCTGATGCCAGTCATCGAACATCAGATTCAAGAAATGAATTGCTACCTACATCTGTGTTTGTTGAGCTGTCGGCTGGACACGCAACCACTTTCCATTTTTGGGTGGACAGCGGGTGTAAAAAGGTTGAGAAGCACTGGTCTAGCGTTTTAATTCTATCTTTCTACATCTTTCTATGAGTGCTAATCAATATACATCAGTTTGTTTTATATATATATATATATATATATATATATATATATATATATATGTGTGTGTGTGTGTGTGTGTGTGTGTGTGTGTACATAAGTAAATTTGCCTAGAAAAACCACAACACCCAAAAGGGGGAGTTACAAGGGAATCTGGCCGACGCTCTAAACTCGGGTGAGGGGCGAGACGGATATAGAAGCAGACTGTTACTGGTACCATCGGAATTTTAACTCTGCGCTTGCTGCTGAAGATGGGGACGGAGCGCTTATGTGAGTGTCCCGAGAGCTGTGATGTCGATTCTTAATTCAACATTTAATACCCCAAAAATAATTGGGTAGGTTCCGCAACGTCCTGTTAAGGAGCAACTTTTAAATATACATATGTTTCAACGAGCTCAGGGGTTCTCCATCTGTATATTTCTGTGTATTACTAGCAATGCACCCTCGGCATTCGTTGGCTGCTGCGTGGTTTTACGGGAGTTTCAGTGGTGTGGCAGCTAGACGCTTGCCTGCTGGTCTGAAAGTCGCGGGTTCTGGTACTGACAAAGTGGTTTTACAAGAAATTTAATAATCAGTAATATTCAAATGCTTTTTTAAACACGAATACTTTTATTGTTATTACTCTTTTCAAACTGTGTCCTCATCGGAGTCCTAGACTTATATTTGTATAGACCACTCGCCGACCGCTTTTACTTCCTTGACCTTTTTAGGCAGGGCTGACCTCGAAATCAAGATCAATTTTGAAAAGAGGGGGAAAAAAAATCAGCCTAGATGTTGATTTGAAACCTTGACTTTGTGGTCGGCTTGGCGTGCGTATTGCATTGACAAAATCAACACAGATCAAAGTACAACCAGACGACTCTATCCTGAAACTAAGTCAAGACCTTAATCACAAATCTACAGTAATACTACAGTGAACCGTTGTCGACTGGTAGTCCGTCAGTTAGTGAATGGAAGCGTATGCTTGACCCATTTTCCAACCCATTACCCAGATCGCATAACCGCAAAAATATGTCTCCATTGCAGCTGATTTAATCATACGACCAATCTCCCACCATCCAGTACAGCTGATTTAATCATACGACGGTGCTCCATTCTTCTAGTACATCTTGTACATACAGCCTATTCTTCTGCCCCACAAGTTGTTATTACAGGCTATCTCTGGTCTACCACACCGAACTGCTCTCAGTTACACGCCTCCCGTGAATCTGTACAACGTAAACGTCACATTTGTTGGTATGCAGACCGGATCTTGCCGTTCATTGAA